TACGAGCTGTTTGTATATTTTGGAAATTAAGCCCTTGTCGGTCACATTATTGGCAAATATTTTCCCTCAGTACATAGGTTGTCCATTTTGTTTATGGTTTCTTTTGCTGTGCAAAATCTTATAAGTTGATTAGGTCCCATTTGTTAATTTTTGCTTTTATTTCTATTGCCTTGGGAGACTGACCTAATAAAACATTGCTACAATTTATGTCAGAGAATGTTTTGCCTATGTTCTCTTCTAGGAGTCTTATGGTGTCCTGTCTTATATTTAAGTCTTTAAGCCACTTTGAGTTTATCTTTTGTTTCTGGTGTGATGGAGTGTTCTAACTTCATTGATTTACATGCAGCTGTCCAGCTTTCCCAGCACCACTTGCTGAAGAGACTTTTTTTCCTCCATTGTGTATTTTGCCTTCTTTGTCAAATACTGACTGTAGGTGTGGGGGGGGGAAATTATTGTTAATTTTCTTATTTATAATAATGGCATTATGACTTTGTAGAAGAATATGCCTACTTTTAAGAGATGCATGCTTAAGTATGTATGAGAGTGAAGTGTTATCACGTCTGCAGTTTCTTCAAATGGTTCAGCTCAAAATATAGATAGAGTGAGCAAATATGGCAAAATGTTAACAATTATTGAATCTAGGTAGTGATTATATGGGTGTTTGTGATGGTTCATTTTATGTATCAACTTGACTGGGCTACAGGGTGCCCAGATATTTGGTCAAACATTATTCTAGGTTTTTCTGAGAATGTTTCTGAATGAGATGAGAAAATCTTTTTTCTCCATACCTGTCAATAAGGACCACCACTAGTGGTTTGCTTAAACTGGCAAAGCCAATAATATACCTTCACTGTCATGCCTTAGGGGTATATCAGCTCTCCAGCCCTATATCATAATTTAGTTGACAAGGATCTTGATCACCTTTCCCTTCTATAAGATATCACACTGGCCAATTACATTGATGACATTATGCTGATTGGACCTACTGAGCAAGAAGTAGCAACTTATTGGTAAGACATTTGCATGTTAAAGGATGGGAAAGAAATGTAACAAAAATTCAGGGGCCTTCTACTTCTTTGAAACTTCTAGGGCTCAAGTGGTGTGGGCATGTCAAGATCTCCCTTTAAGGTAAAGGATAAGTTATTGCTCTGGCACCTCTTACAACCAAAAACCTGGCACAGCACCTAGTAGGCCTCTTTGGATTTTGGAGGTAACATATTCCTCATGTGATGTGTTACTCCAACCCATTTACTGAGTGATCTGAAAAGGCACTAGTTTTGAGTGGGGCCCAGAACAAGAGAAGGCTCTGCATCGGTCCAGGCTGCCATGCAAGCTGCTCTGCCTTTCAGGCCACAGGATCCAGCAGATCTGATGGGGCTTAGACTGTCATGGCAGGTAGGGATGCTGCTTGGAGCCTTTGGTGGCCCCTGTAGGTGAATCATAAGTCAGGCTCTTAGGATTTTGGAGAAAAATCCTGTCATCCTCTGCAAATAACTACTTACCTTTTAAGTAATAACTCTTGGCCTGCTGCGGGGCCTGAGTAGAAGGCTTAATGGTGGGCCACAAAGTTACCATGTGACCTGAATTACCCGTCATGAGCTGGGTGTCATCTGACCCACCAAGCCATAAAATTGGGTGAGCACAGCAGCACTCTGTCATCAAATGAAGGTGGTACATGTGAAATTGGGCCTGAGCAGGCCCTGAAGGCACAATAAATTACATGAAGCAGTGGCCAAATGCCTGCGGTTTCCCACTGTTGCTGCACTACCTTCTCTCCCCCAGCCTGCACCTGTGGCCTCATGGGGAGTTCCCTATGATCAATTGACATAAGAAGGGGAGACTTAGTCCTGATTTACAGGTGGCTCTGCATAATCTGTAGGGACCACATTAAAGTAGACAACTGCAACACTACAGCTTCTGTCTGGAACATCCCTGAAGGAAAGTAGTGAAGGGAAATCCTCCCACTGGGCAGAACTTTGAGCAGTGTACTACCACTCCACAAGGAAGGAAAGGAAGAGAATGTCTAGAATACAGGCCATCCCTTAGGGCATCTCTTAGTATTGCCATGCCTTGTGATAAAGGTCAATGGAAAACTCCAACAACCTGGTCTAGGCAGAACTACTAATGGCCCAGACCCTTCAGGAATGAAGATTTGGATTACCCCAGCAAGTGAAGGACCAGGACCAGCTGAGGTGCTTGCTGAAGGCAAACATAATAAAAAAAAAAAAGGTAATGGAAGAAAGTAGTGATAAATACCAGCTGTGACCATATGATGACTTTTAGAAATGAGGATTATAATTGTCATGTGTATTTCCTCCTTATTTGGTTATGAATATGTTCACATGGGTGTATGTATATATTTGTAAATACATATATATATGGCAAATATCTTTGTTCTTTTCCTGCTCTTATTCTCTTATCATATAATGACTATGTCATCATATTTGAGTATTGTTATTTTTATATCATAGTTTTTAAGTTACAGCGTATCAAGGAGAAGAGTAATCCTCACTTTAGGACTTTACCTCCTCTTCTGGCAAAGGGGTTAGTACATTTTTGGTTGTACACAGCACAGTTGTATCATGTTAGGTGATCCATTATCTTGTTATTGTCTTTATTTGGAGATTAAGTATGGTTTAAGGCAAACTGTATGGGTGCCAAGTTGACAAGGGGTGGCCTTGTGATGGTTAATTTTATGTGTCAGCTTGACTAGGCCAGAGGGTGCCCAGATAATTTGGTCAAGCCTTGTTCTGGGTGTGTCTGTGAGGGTGTTTCTGGAGGAGAGTAACATTTGAAATGGTGGACTGGGTAAAGCAGAGTGCCCTCCTTGTGGTGGCTGGGTCTCATCAAGTCACCTGAAGGCCTGAGTAGACCAAAAAGGCTGAGGAAGAAGGAACTTTCTGCGTGCCTGACTGCCTTTGAGCTGGGACATCAATTTTTTTTCCAGCTTTCAAATGTTGAACTGAAACATTGGCTCTTCCTTGGTCTCAAGCTTGTGGGAATTCAGACTAGAACTATGCCATTGGCTAACTGCAGCATTGCTGCATTGCTGACTGCAGATCTCAGCAATTGCTGACTGCATATCTCAGGACTTGTCAGCTCCTATAATTGTGTGAGCCAATTCCTTATAATAAATAAATACACAGACATTTGCACACACACATACACATCCTATTGGTTCTGTTTCTGGTGAACACTGACTATATAATATAGTATTTATTGTTTATATTCTTTTTATTTTCTGTATGTTTCAAAATTTCCTTGTTGAAAAATTGGGAGAAAACGTCACTCAAATCTCAGTCAAAACTTCAATCTCTCTTCCAGTTCAAGGCTTCTACCTTATGCTTACTTTATCTCATGTCTGACCTATGCTTCTCCAAATAAGCAGTGTGGCAAGCGGGTGTGACCTGTTTCTTTATTCTCATCGCTCCCCTTCGCTCCTAGTCCTCTGCTGTATCCAGCTTCTTCCAGGTTGTCAGTGAGGGTGAATGTTGAGTGAGAACACAAAGCAAAAGCGCAGACTCTTTCTCGACTGGTGCTGGTATAATCTAGCACTGGTGCCCTTTGTGTGGCTAATGACCAAATACTGCCTGTTTTTCTCTATCACGAAATGTGTGTGTGTGTGTGTGTGTGTGTGTGTGTGTGTGTGCAGTTATTTCCTCCCTACCAACTAGGGACCTTGGCAATGTACCATTCATTCTGTGGGCAATGCATTTTCCAGCTGATCTCTTATGAATTCCTCTCTTCCTCTTGTTCAAGTGACACTCCCTTAGGGTCCTCCAGCTATAGGTAGCTTTTTTTTTTTTTCCATGAAAGCAAAGCTTGACTGTCTTCCAAAGTGTCCACTTGGTCACAGGGTATATTCTTACCATACCAGAAGAAGTAAAAGGGCAGACTTGTTGCTGCCTCCTCTCCTTGCTCTATTCTTTGACTTTATATACGTATCAGTTTATTTTTGCTGTGTAACAAACCTTTCTAAAACTTAGTGACTTAAAATAACACCCCTTTAATATTATGGTGCTTGGACAGCTGGGCAGTTCTGTTGATTGCAGCTGGGCTCCCTCATGCATCTGCAATCTGGTACAAGTCAGCTAAGTGGCTCTGGAGTTGTATTAGAGTGATTGGGTTGACTGGGTTATGTGTCTTTCATCATTCACCATCTAGCCTGGGCTGGTCCATGTGGCAGCAGAGCTCAACGGGAGAGAGCAGAAATAATCAAGGCCCCTTGAGTCTTGGGCTTCAAGCTGGCACACCATAACTTCCTTTTCTGTATGCCAAAGCAAGGCCCAAGATTACCCCAGATTCAAGGAGCAGGAAATACTCTACCTCTTGATGGGAGAACCTGCAGTGCCATACTGCCAAGGGGAGAGGATGTAAGGAAGAGTAATAATTGCAGTAATTTTTGCTAACAGTCTACTACGAGGTATGGATACATACTGCTAGACATGTATGTAATCCCCCTTGGTTCACTGCCACCCTCATGGAAGGGAATTGTGCTATGACCTTCTGGCACTCAGCTAATATCAGCTCCCTGATTTCTTTTAGGAATTCTGCTGCCCTCCTTAATCTTTGGTGTGAGGCAGAGGGAGAAGAAAGACTATGTTCCTGTGCTCATTAATAATTTAATGAAGGCGAATTAATTATTTTTTTCCATTAAAGTGGAATTCAAAGTAGAGTTTAAATATAATAGAAGCAAAACTTTGAAATGCATGTTCTAAACCAAACAACAGCAACAACAAAACTGCTTGCTAATAAGCATCAGAAATCAAATTCTCAGGAGACCTGTAGCTTTCTATGGGAAGAAAAGAAAAATAACACAGCATTTTTCACTCACTTGTTCTGTACAGTCCTTTGAAAGACACTTGTTTTGGTGAATCCTGTCCAATGAATCTCTAACTCGGTAATGATGTTACATTGATATGTAAAGCACTCCTTTAACATATATCACTTTGATAGGACTGTGATAAACATTTCAACTAAAAACACTGTCTTTTTTAAAGGTATTAAGGAGCATCAATTCAATTATTCACAATCCAAGAGCTCCAGTAATAATTTATAAACAGAGCAAAGGAGGAGCCCAACATTTTAATAAAGATCTTGTTCAAGATTGTGGATTTGAGCATCTTGTTCCTATAATAGAAATGTGGGCAGATCAGCTGGCTTCCTTAAAGGTAAGGGGTTGAATATTCTCTACAGGCTTTGAAAATCTGTAGGAGTCCATGGGCTTTATATACTTTTATTCTCAAGCAAAGTTTTATATTTGGTGTGCTTTTACCATAGACTTTTTCTTTATAATTGCACCTTACTGATGAAAAACGTTGGTTAATGAAAGTATCGTTATGCTCTGACTTCCTGACTTTTTTTCAAATTCTGGTGGCACTTATTGTTTAATACATTTATTTGGCACTGAATTGTGTTGCCTTGAATTGCTAAAATAGATAACTGCCTTCTTACCAAATGAAAGATTAAAGATATTAATATGTGAGGTCTGGGTATTAATTGGAGAGTGTTAAATAAGTGGAGGACTAAAATAAGAAGTTGAGAAAAGTAAGAATTTCCTGTATTTCTTTCTGTATTCTAGAGTTGCACTGTCTAATACAATAACCACTAAGCCACAAGTAGCTTTTGGTCTCTTGAAATGTGACTAGTCCCAACTGAGATGTGCTGCAAGTATAAAAATACACACTGGATTTAGAAGACTTATTATGGAGAAAAATAGTTAAAATATTGATTATCTGTTAAATGATAATATTTTGGATATATTGGGTTAAATATATTATTAAAATTGTCACCTACTTCTTTTTACTTTTTTAAATGTGGCTACTAGACAATATTACTGTGACACACATTACATTCCTTCTGGATGGCATTGTTCTAAAGGGCCAAGCACTGTGCCGTGCACATAGTAGATGCTCAGTAAATATTTGTTTATAGATTGACCAGTCTTAGACTTCTAAAATTCCAGGAGCCTGGCCTCTTGTGCACAGTTTTAAATAGATTAGGACAACATATCTAGGCCAGGAAAACTAAGTAGGCTGTCATGAAAATCAAGTCGAATTACTTCAGGCGTCCTTTCGAATTAAAAACTTTCCTGGAGATACATACTATAACATGGATGAATCTTGAAAATATCCTAAGTGAAAGAAGCCTGTCACAAAAGGCCGCTTATTGTATGATTCCATTTTTTTTAATGAAATGCTCAGAATAGGCAAATCCATAGAAACAGAAAGTAGATTAGTAGTTACCCAAGGGCTGAGAGCAGGAGAGAATGGGGAATGACTGTAAATGGATACAGGATTTCTTTTTGGAGTCATGAAAATGTTCTAGAGTTGGATAATGGTGATGATTGCACATCTCTGTAAATAAGTCAAAACTACTGAATCGCACATTTAAAGAGGATGAATTTTATGGTATGTGAATTACATCTCAGTATATCTTATTTAAAAAATCAAGGGCAAAATATTAAGGACAAGCTTATTTTTTATTCATCAATATTTCAAAATAATTACTTGAATGACATATGCTACTAATAAATAACATAATTACTTTAAACATCCAGATTCCAGATAATCAATATATATATATGTAAGGCCTGGAGAAAACTAATTTAACAGACTTTTTCTAAACTGGTAATGGTATTTTTTAAAAAAATAATGATGATGGTTGATATATATATTAAACCTGCTTGGATAATTATATTTTATTAGCATTATTATGAAAACTTAAAAAATCAGTAATAGCATATTGTTTCTTTCGTAAAGGATTTGTATAAGTCCTTGAAAATACTATCTGCAGAACTGGTGCCTTGGCATAATTTAAAGAAGCAGGATGAAAATGAAGGTGTCAAAGTTGAAGATCTGTTGTTTATAGTAGATACCATGTTAGAAGAAGTGGAAAATAAGGAAAAGGTAATACTACCTAATACTTACATAAATGTTCACATTTTAATGTACTCTTTATCTTAGAAACTAATAATGATATGGATATAGATATTCTACTAGAACTTTATTTCTCTTTTGAAAGTTTTTATTAAAGATTTGGAATAATTTTAAGATGGAAACTATCTTTTTCTTCCTCTCTTTTGGGCAGGACAGCAATATGCCAGACTTTCAAATTTTGCGAGCTATTGTTTCTCACTTCCAAAAATTATTTGATGTGCCTTCTTTAACTGGAGTCTATCCCCGAATGAATGAGGTTTATACTAGGCTTGGAGAAGTGAACAATGCTGTGAGAAACCTCCAGGAACTCTTAGAACTAGGTGATGACCCTTTGTTTTTTTGGCCCCCCATTTAAGAATTATTTTTAATAAATCAACAAAAAGTAGTTAAAAAATCAAGGCTAACTGAAGCATACAGTGTTTGATTTAATGACTTTGAAAACTCTCTTTTAAAATATCCTGTCCTCTTATCTCTCTTTTGCAGATAGTTCATCCTCATTGTGTGTGCTGGTGAGCACAGTTGGAAAATTGTGTAGGCTGGTCAATGAAGATGTGAATGAACAGGTCATGCAGGTATTGGGACCTGAAGACCTCCAAAGGTATTTATTTTGAAAAGGTTGCAAAGTACCATCCAGAATGTTTGCAAGTGGTAAAATTAAAGACTTCCAAAACTTCATAAGTTATTTACCTTTCCTGTTTGGAATAGCATTTTTTAAAATAACTTGACAATCTAAAATAATCTCACACCTTAGGGATGGAGAGAATGTCAAGTATTTTCAAGATAAAAGTAGACTCTAGGGCCTATAGGTTTACATAGGGTGGGTCAGGACTCCAGCATTATTGCTATAAGCTTGTTTCCAAATTATATATGGAGAAATTCATACTTTATTAGCAACTTTATGTGAATTCAGAATGTATAAGTCCAATTTTTAGTACATTACCATCAATCACTGATCACTAAATAATCACTAAGAGTATGTGTATTATTTGATAAGAAGATGTTAAGGATTTTTTTAAAAAGCTAGGCATCTCTGACATAAAACCTAATGTTTTTTTAAAATATCAAAATGTTATAGCTATACTCTTCCTCCCTCCTTCCCCAGATTTTATACTTCAACATATGTTCTGCAAGTTTTCCAAGAACCCTTACCTGACCCTTGAGTTTTCTGATACTTAATGCTTTTAAAAGGAATGTATGTCTCACTGTTGGTCTTTTTCTCCTTCCCACAGTTTTACTGATTACTGATACTTATTCTTAATGTTTAATAGAATACAGGATATAAAAGCCAGTTCTTTTTAGAAAACGTTATAAAAGCGTGGTCTCTTAAGACTCCTCAAGCTAAGTAGAAAATTCCTATATTAGGAAGTTATATAGATTTAACTGTAGGACAGATGATCACACTGGCAATAGATTTGTTTTAGAAAAGTGTTACTAGATGAACAAAGAGCTGAAAAAGAATGGATTGCAGTAAATGATCATTAAACTTATATTTAAATTAGCAGGACAATTTCTTTCCATTTTGAAATGTTCTATGTCCAGTGAGATGCAAGTTGGAAATTCAGTGTAAACTGCATTTTTTTTTAAAGCATTATCAACAAATTGGAAGAACATGAGGAATTTTTCCCAGCATTTCAGGCATTTACTAATGACCTACTTGAAATCTTAGGTAAGATCTTTGTTGTTGGTGGTTAAATTTTGAGTCTCAAGATGTCAGGGGGTTTGAGGAAACAGTGCCCCTTAGTCACTGTATTAGTGTTTTTACCCAGAGTTGTAGAAAGTGTCTGGAAACCACTAACAGTTCTGGAAACAAACTTCTAACTTGCAGTTAAAGTTGGTTGGGATTAGTCTGCAGAACAGAGAAACATATATCCTTTAAGGAGCTGGGGGCTGCCTTTGTTTTAGGACCTTAAAATGAGAAATGACATTACTCTGGCTAGGCCCAGTGTAACCTTGACTCTGTCATTGGCTAATGAGAAATGTCCTCAGAATTTATGATCTTGGAAGGTGTCTTCTTTTTTCTTCTTCCTCCTTCTCCTTCTTTTTCTTCTCTCTTTTTTTTTTTAAAGATAGTTCCTACTTACTGTGTTTTTTAGATATACAAATTAAATTTCCTTCTAAGGTGATGAGAAGTAATATAAAGTAAACATCTGTAGAAAGGAGATAAATTTATAAATCTGTTGAAGGGAAGAGTTACATTTTACACTCTTGGTCAGATTGAGGGATTCATCAGTAGTAATATCTCTTAAAGGGAAAAAAATGTAATTAGCTTAGGAATCATAGGCAAAATAGAGACCCAGTTCTCTTTAAGTGTGATTATATGTGGCTATAAAAATAATTTATCTTACTGTTAAGAACACTGTTTAGGGAATTCCCTGGCAGTCCAGTGGTCATTAGGACCCTGGGCTTTCACTGCCGAGGGTGCAAGTTCAATCCCTGGCAGGGGAACTAAAATCCTGCAAGCTGTGCAGCGTGGCCAAAAAAAACCTCACTTTTTAAAAAGGTTAAAGTGATATATTTATTAATGAATTCTTTTTTTTTCCATATAGCTCATTTGAAATTGAAAGTGTTTTTTTGTTTTTGTTTCTTTTGTTGTTGTTTGGGAAAATGTAATTTGAAAGTTTAACTTGAGATGTGGAATTGTATAAATGTGTTGCCTTGTGTCTCAAAGAGCCTTGTTTCCTGCAATAATATGATTTTACTTGCTTTGACGTAGCAATTAAACAATGAGTTTCTTGTCATTAATAAACATTTTAATAGGTGTGCTAGCAACACTTATTTCAGAATCCTTCTATAGAAACTTCCCCTCAGATAGGATACTCAGCATGGTTCATGTAGGATCATTTGCTTCAATTCAACAGGTGTGATTTTAGAATGCGGATCAGGGAATAACTTGACCTTTGTACCTTACCACAATGTAAGATGTGAACCAAATTCTCTGCTGTAGATTTGCTCATATTTTTTTCCTTTCCTATATTTTGATAAGTGGATTCAGATAAGGATTCTGACTGAAGTCAGGAGCTTAAACAGCATGGGTCATGTGTTTTGGCTAAAGGAAGAACAATCAGAATCCAGCTAAACATGGAGGGAGAGAGATGGGAATCCAAGGAATCATGTTTTATGTAAAGGAAGTGAGTTTATGAACAGTGAACTAGCAGAATAATCTAGAAAAAAGTGGTGAGAATTTAGAGAACCTGCCACTGGGGCTTACCTTAAGTAGGGCTGGAGTCTACATAATCAGAGAAAGGACCTTCCTTAGTGGCTAGGAGCTTCCAGATGGTGAATTCTAACTTAGGCTGGTTGGAAGAAGATAGTCTTAGGAAGAGAAGTCAAATTCGGAAAGAATCTGGCAGAGAAGAACCTGAACTATCTTGTAGGCTGGACCAGGCTAAGCTCTATAATACATTGCATCTGAGATTTTACTCTGAGACACCTCACACCTTTTATTAGGTAGATAGGCTTCATCCTAAAAGGTAGACCTAAGAGCCATCCTACTAATGAGAAATCTTTATCATAGATTTAGGACAGGACTGTGTTCCAAGAGAAGAAATCCCTAAGTCCTTAGATGGGGGCCCATGAGAGAGAGTGCCTCTACTGGGGATTTCACCATGTAGGCTCACCCATGTAGTTAAAGACGCAGTAACATAATATCATAAATGTTGCTAGTAGGATCTGTTAATAAGAGCACACTGCTAATGAGATTAATATCAGAGTCAGAGGGTGCTTTTGTAGGTGTGTGGTAGCTTTTACCCTTTTTTTGCCCTGTGAAGCATCTGTGTCTGAATCAATGATACACTCATCACCACTATTGGAGAAAAGTTTCATGTGCATGAAAGCACTAGTGACGTTGCCTTTGTGTCTGAAGTTTGCCTCTGAATAGAGATTCTCATTTCATCTCAGCCTAACAGTGGATAAAGCTATTCTTTTATTATTGTTGTTTTTCTATTACAGAAATTGATGACTTGGATGCCATTGTACCTGCAGTAAGGAAATTAAAAATACTTTCATCCTGAAAACAAATCATTTTTACTGTGTAAATTGCATTCTTAACATTCTAAATATTTTGTAGGATTGATCTTACTCTGAGACAAGGGTTATAAAATGTATATACTCTCAGAATTCACCCCCTTCTTTCTGTTGGGTCCTTCTCCATCCATATAATTTTTATTGACTTTGAGATTCTTTTATAGAAAACATTGCTAAGTTTAATTACTAAATTAACTTTAGATCCTTTAATCATTTCTTAAGCAATTCTTGAGTGCTTAAAATGTAAGATTGTTTTAAAGTACAGTGTGTAAGAGAGAAACTCAGGGAGAGAGTGCAAGTAATAGAAACGTTGCATTTAATTAAGTTCAGAGTTTTTTGGCCTGGGAACAAGGAATGCCAGTGGCTCTCTTTAGTCCAGCCAGCAGGAAGCTGTTGCTTTCCTGGCAAGGAAATGGCACATTCTATTAAGATATCCCTCATGACACTTGCCCTTTCAGAGCAGAAGGAACAAAAGGAAGAAGGAAAAAAGTTTTTATCGTGTTAGGGTAGGAAATGAATTATGAGGTAAAATAGATGAGTGGATGTGAGTCTCTCATAAAGTGTCCTTTTTGCTATCTTGATGTGATGTACTTTTTATAAGGGCATGAAATCTTAAATAAAATTTTTGTAATGAATTTCCAAACGTAAATGTTCTCAGTGACTTACTTGTATTCCTCACCAATAATGAGTCGTATTCTCTTACTAGTCTGAGCCTTCCTTGGGCACCCTTCCTGGTTCACCTTTGCTGCGTTTTACATAAGAGTAGCTTTCTTGATGCTTTGTACTTACCCTCTGTTCTCCATATTCATTCTGATTTTCTTAAAAGGACAGGTGTTTGGCTTCACATCCCTGAGTACGGGCCACTTTTGGTTACTGCTCCCTCACCCCCTACCCCCACTTTTTTTTTTTTTTTTGAGGTACGCGGGCCTCTCACTGTTGCGGCCTCTCCTCCCATTGCGGAGCACGGGCTCCGGACGCGCAGGCTCAGTGGCCATGGCTCACGGGCCCAGCCGCTCCGCGGCATGTGGGATCTTCCCGGACCGGGGCACGAACCCGTGTCCCCTGCATCGGCAGGCGAACTCTCAACCACTGCGCCACCAGGGAAGCCCCCCACTTTTATAAGTAACGGGCCTGGGGGACTTCTCAGTTATTCTTGTTCATTGCCATGTAGAATATTGGAAAGAATTTCCAGGAAGCAGCATAGTGGAATGCAGAGAGTAAATGTCAAGTATAGTTAAAAATTAATAGAAGTATAGTTAATTTACAATGTTTTGTTAGTTTCTGGTGTACAGCAAAAGGATTCAGTTATAGATATATATATGTGTGTGTATATATATATATACACATATACACACACATATTCTTTTTCATATTCTTTTCCATTATGGTTTATTATATGACATTGAATATAGTTCCTTGTGCAATACAGTAAGACCTTGTTGTTTATCTATTTTATATATAGTAGTTTGTATCTGCTAATCTCAAACTCTTAACTTATCCCTCCCCTACCCCCTTTCCCCTCTGGTAACTGTAAGTTTGTTTTCTATGTCTATGAGTCTGTTCATTAATAAGTTCATTTGTGTCATAGTTTAGATTCCACATATAAGTGATGTCATATTTATCTTTGTCTGACTTACTTCATTTAATATGATAATCTCTAAGTCTATCCATGTTGCTGCAAATGGCATTATTTCATTCTTTTTATGGCTGAGTAGTATTCCATTTTGTGTGTGTGTGTGTGTGTGTGTGTGTGTGTGTGTATGTGTGTATGTAACATCTTCTTTACCCATTCATCTGTCAGTGGACGTTTAGGTTGCTTCCATGTCTTGGCTATTGTAGATAGTGCTGCTATGAACATTGGGGTGCATGTATCTTTTAGAATTATCATTTTCTCTGTATATATGCCTAGGAGTGGGATTGCTGGATCGTATGGCAAAATTTTAGTTTTTTAAGGAATCTCCATACTGTTCTCCATAGTGGCTGCACCAATTTACATTCCCACCAACGGTGTAGGAGGGTTCCCTTTTCTCCACACCCTCTCCAGCATGTTATTTGTAGACTTTTTTTTTGTGGTACACGGGCCTCTCACTGATGTGGCCTCTCCTGTTGTGGAGCACAGGCTCCAGACGCGTAGGCTCAGTGGCCATGGCTCATGGACCCAGCCGCTCCGCGGCATGCGGGATCTTCCTGGACTGGGACACGAACCCGCGTCCCCTGCATTGGCAGGCAGACTCTCAGCCACTGCGCCACCAGGGAAGCCCTGTAGACTTTTTAATGATGGCCATTCTGACTGGTGTGAGGTGGTACCTCATTATAGTTTTGATTTGCATGGAAGAAATATAATTTTAAAATTATGTTAATCTAAATTTTGTCAGCTAGTTTAAGAGCCTGTGGTTAACTCTTAGTTTAAAACAGAGGTTTTCAAACTCTTCCTCAGAGGCCTAGGAGTTTTTTTGGAGGGCCACTGAGAAGGGACAGTGCTGCTAGTAGGAAGAACATTAGGCCCTCTCTATCAGGTCAACTTTTATCCAGTTTTAATTATTTAAAATATAAGTACTGCAACCATTGTTTAGCTCTTGATTATTTACAGTTTTATTGATGTATAGTTGACATACATGTATAGTTGCTCTGTGGCATGTGGGATCCTCCCAGACCAGGGCTCAAACCCGTGTCCCCTGCATTGGCAGGAGGATTCTTAACCACTGTGCCACCAGGGAAGTCCTATTTCACTAATCTTTTTTGTGTGTTATAAATATAACATATATGCTAAGTATGATAAAAACCATAAATGTCAAGTATAATGAATGATTATAAAGTGAACACCCATGCAACAATCAAGAAACAGAACATTCACCAGCACTCCAAAAGGCCTCCCCCACATACCATATGTGTCTTCCCCCATTAGACTGACTTATGTTAATCACTTACTTGTTTTTTTAAATAGTTTTGCCAGTTTTGTGTGTATGCCTAAACCAAGATAGTTTAGTTTTGCCTATTTTTGAACTTTATAAAAATGGAATCATATTGTATATGTTCTTTTTAATTCTTCTTTTGTTCAACATTGTTTGTACTGTTCATCTATGTTGTTGTGTGTAGGTCTAGGTCATTTGTTTTCATTGGTGTCTAGTATTCCTCTATGAATGTTCCATAATCCATTTGTCTGTTCTACTAGAGATTGGCATTTAGGTTGTTTCTAGTTCTTGGCTGTTGTGAGCTACTGCTGTGAACATTCTTGTATGTGCATCCTCGTTTGCTTGTGTGCAGGTTTTCTAGAAGCAATATCCAAGAAATAAAATTGCTGGGTCCTAGAGTAAAACACATCTAACCATGTGAATGGAGCCTCTGGGGTTGTATAGTGTGCAACTTTGATGGAGAATGTATATTTCAACTTTAGAAGAAAATGCCAAACTCTTTTCCAAAGTGGTTGTACCAATTTATACTCCCACCATTAATGTATGAGAGTTCCCATTTTTCCATATCTGGACCAATTTTGGGTAAGTCAGATTTTTTATTTTTGCCAGTATAGTGTATAGAGCTCTTAGTGTGGTTTTAATGTTTATTTTCCTGATTACTAATGAAGTTAAACATCTTTTCCTTTGTTTATTGGCCATTTGTATTTATTTTTTGAAGTGCTTGTATGTATCTTTGGTTCACTTTTCTATTGGACAGACGGTCTTTTCCTACTGACTTGTAAGAGTTATTTATATATTCTGGACATGAGCCATTTGACAGTTATATGTGTTGCAAATGTCTTCTTCCATTCTATGTCCTCTTTCCATTTTCCTCTAGTTTCTTTTTATGAACTGACAAACTTAATTTTAATATAGAGAGTATAGTTAAAGATGTAGAGATTTATAGTTAGTGCTCTAAGTGTCTTATGAAACCTTTCTCTAGTCACAAGTGTAAAGTTATTCTCTTATCTTATAGCTGTACACTTTTGCCTTTCACACTTAGTCTAATATACCTGCAGTTGTTTGATTTTTTAAATGTGGTATAAGTAAAGGACCATTTTTACATTTTCCATCATAGATACCCAGTTATCTCAGCACCATTTATTGAAAAATCTATTTCTCCTCTGCTCATAGTGCTACCTCTGTCATGAATTGAATATCTGTGTGTGAATGGGTCTGTTACTGGACTCTCTTTTCTATTCTTTTGGTCCAGTTGTCGCTCCCTGCACTAGTACCCCACTGTTTTCATTATTTTAACTTTAAAATAAACTTTGGTATCCAGTTGATGGCCTCCCACCCTTTATGTTTCCATGTGTGTTGAATCAGATTATCAAGTTACACACACACACGCACACACACTACATACTGAGTTTTTTTTTCATTAAAGATAGGATCAGTGAGGAAAATCAGCATCTGTAATGTTGGGTCTTCAAACTCCAAATACAGCATAGCTCTCCATCTGGTTAGATTCCCTTTAACATTTCTAATAAAGTTTCATAATTTTCCTGTAGGGATTATTGTTGGATGTATTCATAGTATTTGATCTTTTATACATTTATAAATTATCTTTTTAAAATTTCATTTTCCAACTATTTCAGGAACAGAGAACTACAGTTGAGTTTTAAATATTAACTTTGCAGTTAGCAATCTTGCTAGAAACTCTCTGATTAACTCTAGCAGTATATCTTTAGATTATTTTGGATTTTTATGCTCATGATCATATCATCTGTATATAACAACAGTTTTGGTCAGATATACCTGTTTTTTCTTGCCCAACTACATATGCCACAATACAGGGCTGAGTAGAAGTGGTGATAGCAAGCAGCCCTTTCTTATTCCAGATTTCAAAAGGAAAGCATTTAATGTTTCACCATTAAATATGATGTTTGCTACCATTACTATAAACAAATCTAAACTACCCTTGAGTATATCTTTTTCATCCTTTTATTTTCAACACTTCTGTGTGTTTGAAGTGAACCTCTTGTAAATAGCATATAGCTGTACTTTTTATTTTCATGGAATTTGACCCCCTTGCATGTTTTAATAGTGGGTTTATTGTGATTACCAATATATTTAGAAGTCTTTTGCCTATCTTCTTTTGTATTTTCTATTTATCATATTTTTCTATGCTACTTTTTTCTTTCCTATTTTTTGGGGGGGTATTGAATTTCTCTTTATTTTTTTTTCTTCTTCACTACTGATTTGGAAGTTTTATATTTCAGCTCTGTTGATTTTTCTATTGTTACTCTATTTTATTGGTTATCTTAAAATTTTTAATATATACTTAGTCAAGGTCAGGAGATAGAAACTACATTGCACAGGTAGCCTAACAGGAAAAATTTAAAACAAGAATGGCTAACTAGTAATGGTAGTTACCTACTAAAAGGGGAGAAAAGGAGACTCTAAGGGGTATGCAGTAGCGACTTCAGAAAGCAGATACTACCCCCAGGGATAAAGGAGAGTGAACAAGGAAGGAACTTAGAAACTTAAAAATTGCCTTCCCACTAGGCTGAGATTTAAACCTTTGAGTAGAGGTCTGGCTGCTATAGGAACAGGCAACCAACTTGTGGCAAAGAAACTTGCCAGAGGGTGCTGGATGGTGCTGAACCATGAAGGCTGTATTTACGTTTGCAAAGCCCAAGGGCGTGAGCCAAGAGTAAACTGTGGCGGTGCTTTGGTAACTGAGGACGGCCCTCACACAGCCAGGAAAAAAGC